AGGTCATACAGTACACAGCCAGGGAGACAGACTAGGGTTCAAATGCTGGTTCTGTTACTCGCTAGTATTATGATTTTGAACATCTTGTTTAACCTTGCTAAGTCAGAGTTTCCTCATTTATTTCAAAAGAATGTTGTGATTAAATTTAAGTAAAGAGATTAGCACAGTGCTTGAATTAATCAGTGATATTTCAGCTGCTACTGATAAACATTCAACTCAAATCAGCATAAGCAAATAAAAGAAACTATTGAAAGATTACTGACTACCTCAATGGAGCAAATTAGAAAGCCCAGAAATAGACTGGAACAAATACAGTCAACTGACCTTAGGCAAAGGCGCAAGGGCAATGTGATGGAGCAAAGATGTCTTTTTAACAAATGGTGCTGGAGAAATTGTACATCCACATGAAAAACAAACAAAATAATAGACATGGATTTTACAGCTTTCACAAAAATTAACTCAAATTATATCATAGACCTGAATATAAAATGCAAAAACATTGAGCCCTAGGCGACAACAAGAAAAAATCTAGGTGACCTTGGGTTTAGATAACATCATCCAAAACACAGTATGTAAAAGAAAAAATTGATAGTTGAACTTCCTTAAAATTAAAAACTTCTGCCTTGTGAAAGATACTGTTAAGAGAATGAAAAGACAGGCCACAGACTAGGAAAAATATCTTTGCAAAACACATATCTGGTAAAGGACTGATATCTGAAATGTATAAAGATCTCTTAAAAGCTATGTAATAAGAAAACAAACAACCCAATTAAAAAATAGGCAAAAGATCTGAGCAGATGCCTTACCAAAGAAGATATTTATATGGAAATAAACACATGAATATGAAAAGATAATCAAATCATATGTCATCAGGAAATCACAAAATGAAACAACAGTGAGATACCATCATACACCTGTCAGATAGGCCAGATCCAAACACGGACACCACCAAATGCTGAGGAGGATTCAGGGCAACAGGAACTCTAATTTATTGCAAAATGTTATAGACACTTTGGAAGATAGACATTTCCTTACAAAACTAAATGTACTCTTATTTAAGCCAGCAATTATACTTTCTGGTACCTAAAATAACCTAAAAACACATTTCAACACAAAAACCTGCACATAAATGCAGCTTTATTCATAATTAACAAAAACTTGGAAATAACCAAGATGTCCTTCAATAAGTGAATAAATAAGTTAATTCTGATACATCAATACAATGGGCTATTATTCAGCAAAAAAAAAAACCAAACAAAAAACAATCATGCCAAAAAGACAAAAAGGAACTTGAATGCATCTTTCTAAATGAAAGAAGCCAATCTGAATGGGCTAATACTATATATATATATATATATATATATTGAGACAGTCTCAAGCTGTCACCCCGGGTAGAGTGCCATGGTGTCATAGCTCACAGCAACCTCAAACTCTCGGGCGTAAGCGATTTTCTTGCCTCAGCCTCCCAAGTAGCTGGGACTACAGGCTACTTTTTGGCTACAGCTGTCTTTGTTGATTTTAGCTGGCCCAGGCTGGGTTCGACCCGCTCACCTCAGTGTATGTGGCTGGCACCCTACCCATTGAGCTAAGGGCACCACGTGGGCTAATACTGTACAATTACAACTATATGACATGCTGGAAAAGGCATAACTACAGAGATGGTAACAAGTCTCAGAGGTGTCCAAGGAGGGATAGATGAGTAGGTGGAGCACAGGGGATGTTTAGGGTAGTAATACTGTAAAGGTGGGTCCATGGTATTACACATTTGTCAAAACCCATAAAATAGACAACACAAAAAGTGACCCCTAATGTAAACTATGACATTTAGTTAATAATCATGTTACAATATTGGCTCATCAATTCTAACAAATATACCACACTTAGGAAAGATAATAGTAGGTAATAGGGAAACTGGGGTAGGGGGTTAAAAACGCATAGTTACAGGAATTTCCAGTACTTCTCTCTCGATTTTCTATAAAATCTAAAATAGTTATTAATTAAAAATTTATTAAGCAACATAAAATTCATGCACTTTAATATAAAGTGTAAAAGCTATACTTTAAAAAAGGCTGCTGAGATAATTCTCCAAACCAGAAGTCCAGGGTTTAAAGGACTAGAACCAGGGATCTGATAACTCATTTTGTTTTCATCCTCTGGTAAATAGGCAAGTTTTCTTGACATGTCGGGAATATTGACTGCCACCACCACCAGTCGTTTCTTTTTCTTTAAAGCCTACATTGATATCTGAGGATGGTGGCAGTGTGGGAAATCGGGGTACCAAGTCAAATAGGAAATGGTTATTGAAGGCTTAAAAAATAGTGGTCTATGTTGTATGATAGCAAAACAAGTGGCAAAACTGCTGCTTGCAGTAACTCGGGAGACACCAAAAACAATGCCTAGTGAAATTTTTAAAAATTAAACTTGCTTTCAAATAATTATAGATTCATGTGCAGTTGAATAATACAGGAGGATTTCGTATACGCTTTACCTAGTTCCTGGAATGGTAACATCCTGTAGGAGTATAGTACTATTCTTGTTCTGAAATCTGCTTTATCGGGTATTAACTCCTATAGCCACTCCTTCTTTCCTTTTTTTAGCATTTGCATGATATATCTTTCTCTATCCTTTTAATTTCTACTTGTCTATGTCATTGTTAAAGCTGAAGGTGTATCTGGTTCTTTGAGTCCTGGGGTCTGCCACTGGTCTGCTTTCTTTTTCCACCTTTCAGGTCTTATGTTTACTTTATAAATGATGTCAGGTTTTACTTGTACTTAGCAAGAAGAATAAGGAAATATCTAGGTATTCTATATTCCCAGAATTGAACTTTTTGCATTTCATCTATGGTAAGGATGCTGAAAATATCAGCTCTAGCTTTGTATGGAAAGATACAGAATAAAAGAGCTAAACCAAAGTAAAAAATGGCCAGTTTTAAAGCAAAATTTACAGGGAAGACAGAGGGCCTAGGACTTATATTAGAAAATAAAACTTTCTCATCACTAGTCTCTCCAAGTAAAATATAGCCGGGTAGTACAGACAAGATTTAGGGTATAGGGTGGTGCCTGTGGCTCAGTGGGTACAGCGCTGGCCCCATATACCAAAAGTGGCAGGTTTGAACCCGGCCCTGGCCAAACTGCAACAACAACAAAAAAATAGCCATGCGTTCTGGTGGGTGCCTGTACTCCCAGCTACTTGGGAGGCTGAGACAAGAAAATCGCTTAAGCCCAGGAGTTGGAGGGTGCTGTGAGCTGTGACGCCACGGCACTCTACCGAGGGTGATTTAAAAAAAAAAAGATCAAGGGTATAAATGTAAGATCCTTCATATAGGTCTCTGAAAGCATTAAAGTGATAACCTTAGACCTTATCAGGTGGACAAAGGGTTTTGAAGAATTTTAAGGTCAGGTTCTCAACAGAAATCTGTTCCCAAAGTAAAAGTGTATATTACAAAGAAGCATGTCTTAAAAACAATTGCGTGTTGTGACTTCGGGAGCATGGCACATAGACTATAATCAAATACACAGGAAACACAGTAAGTAAATTGTATAGGTATAGTGCTGTTAGAACGCCCGAAAAAGAACTGAGAATATTTAAAAACGGAAAAAGACCTTTGGATCCCTAACTTTCTATTGCAGAAAGCAGGCTGAAAAAACTAGTTACTTGCCAACAGGACCTATTTCTTCAGAGGTATTCAAGGATAATGGAGAAGAAACGGTGTCTCAGAGTGCATTGCCCAGAATCCAGAACTAAAAGTCACAGAATGCAGTGGACTAGGGAGGGCTGAGCTGGGTGGGTCTCAACCAAGAAACAGTCCCTTCCCTAGAAGTAGGGGGATTTGTTAACACGTGTATAGATGAATTTCAGAATTTCTTGGAACCAACAACTTCTGTGAACAAATCTTCTATTTTTTTTCTGTTTGAATGCTAGTATTTATGTGATTTTTTCCTGTCCTTGTTTCTCCATTGAATATTAGATGTATGAGGGACAGGTAACTTGTCCTTTTACTCCTAGATTTGCAGAACAAGAGGATCTGCCACAACTGTACCTGATGTAGAACATGAGATTATGAAGTTAAGAGAGTAAAACCAGGATTGGATGAGAAGTAGGGTGTCTTGGGATAGAAGTGAATGTATTTTGTATGTAAGTGCAGGGAGAAAAGAGGAAAAGAGAGTTCTTATGCACTGCCACATTCATGGCTGAAGCCAGTATAACAAAAGGAAGACTAAAGAGAAAAGCATCCAGATTTATTTAATGTAAGTTTAACATGATACTGGAGACTTCAGAAATGATGACCTGAAGAAAAAAGGAAACCTGTGTATTATTATGCTATACTTGATGAACCGGATAGTTGTGGAGAGGTATCATTGGACCTAGGAGGTATGATCTAATGGTGGCCCCGTAGCAAGGCCCGTTTGTTCAGATTCTTCCCTGTGTCCCTCTTTCCTCTAGAAAAAGGGGGGCATCTTTCATATGACGATCTTATGAACTACTTCAGGGGAAGCTCAGGAAACTCAAGGTATGAGAAGAGAGAGATTCCCTTTATCAGAGTATGCAGAAGGCTTCCCAGGAATTCCCCTACAGAATTACTCTACTTACATTTTTAGAACTGCCTCTGTTTTAAGGCTCGAAAGACTAGATGAACTCCACCTGAAAGGTGAACGTACCGAAACCGAACACTTGGTATGCCCCAAACTTGATATACGTTCAGGATTATTGGACAGCGACCTTCGGGCCGCACCTGATGGTGCGCAAGCGCCAGTCACAACTATCGCCCGCTTGTGCCCAGAGTACTCGGTTCTCTCTGTCTGCCTTCGTTCTTTTCCGCCTCTTCCTCGGACTTCCCTTTGAACTTCCCGGTCGTCGCAGATCCCACCAATCACAAACGTCCTCCTTCGAGCCACGCCCCCACTTCCCCACTCCCCGCCTGATTCCGCGCACAACTTTCCCGTCCTTTCCTTACGCACGCTACGCGCGGGCGTCAGCCTCTGACGTCACCGCCCGCGCCGGCTCCCGCCCGGACGGCTCCCGTTAACCGTTGGGCGGCCTACTGAAGTCCCTCCCTCAGGACTTTCCCCTGCGGTCGAACCGCTCTTGCGGCGGCGACCCATGTGGGGGTTCAGGCTCCTGCGGTCGCCGCCGCTGCTGCTTCTGCTGCCGCAGCTCGGAATCGGAGACGCCTCGACTTGCTCTCAGACCAGAACCATGAACCCGGGCGGCAGCGGCGGTGCGCGATGCTCCCCCTCGGCTGAGGGACGCCGCCAGCAGTTTGTGCAGCTGTCGGCTGTGCCGGGAGCAGATCCGCTGCGCAGCAACGAGTTGCTCCTATTGGCAGTGGCGGGGGAGGGACTGGAACGGCGGGATCTCCCTGCGGATCGGGCGAAGGAGGAGCTGAAACCGCCGCCCCAGCATCACGTCCTCTATTTCCCTGGGGATGTGCAGGTAACTGGGGGCCTGTCTGGGCATCCCTGCTCTCTGGTGCATATACGCGGTCACCTAATTCTTTTCTCGTGGCTGCTCCCGTGTTCCTTGCCTCTCCTGAACACAGCTCCACATGCACTCACGGGGGTGGCACGTTCGTTACACCACGAAATCCGAAACCATCTCTTCCACACTCCTGACCCCTTCTTTCTGGAGCCTCAGGAGATAGGTGTTTTGGAAAGGCTGAGCTCTCGAAAAAGCCAGGTGTCAGTCCAGTTTCGGGGAGGTGGAATTCGAGACACACAGGGAATGAGACACATTGTGTTGTGTTCATTCTATTACATGGTTTCTCAGAGGACCGTGTGTGTGTGTGTGTGTGTGTGTTGGAAGGAGTTAAATTAACTTAGCACGTAGTGTTTAAAAACGCGGGCAGTAATTAAAATGCCAACAAAAAATTACAAAGGTATGATTTAGTAACTCTAAGAAAGGAGTGTGTGTATGGAAGGAAGTGAAGCAGTAATTGCCAAGCATGTCAATATTTTGATGCTCACCTAAATTTTGTACTTTAGCTTTTATGTGTGATCTTTATTATTGATTTTATAGCTGTGGGCAAATATCTGCGGTTATGTTGTCCAGGAAGCTGGATGTTAATCTAAAACTGCATTGTCTAATATGGTAGCCATTAGCTATATGTAACTATCTAAATTAATTAAAATTAAATAAATACCTTTATCTTAAAGTTAAAAAGTCTAGTTCAGTCATATTAGCTGCATTTCAAATGCTTAGTAGCTACAAAATGGTTTGTGTGTACTGTAGTGGACAGGACAAATGTAAAGCATTATCATAGAACAAATCCATCATCATAGAAAGTTCTGTTAGCACTAGTTTAGACAGGAAAAGCTAGAACATAGCTAGATATGTTTCTTATGCAAACGCTGTTGTTTTTGAAATTGATGTTTTAAAATGATATGCTTAGAAACTTTGTGCTCTGTCAAACTATAAAGTAATTGACTATGGAATCACAACTTGGTAAGAGATAGAAAATTAATTTAGTTGACTGCTAACAAAATATTAAAAAACTAGTATTTAAGGAAAAAACTAACTGATTTGGTGCTGTTGTGCTCAGATTGGGAGAACAGCTTGTGGCGTTTCTGACAGTGACCTCCAGAGATCTATGGAGCAACTACTGAATGTGTTCCTTAAAATAATGATGATGGTGATAGTAATGGTAATTAACATTTATTGAGCACTTACTGAGTGTCTTTAAAGTGTGTTATCCAGAATATACTACAAGTCTTTACAAGAGGTCTAGAAAATCCTACATACAGTTTAAGTGTTACCTTCTTTTGTTTCTACATCATCTATTTCTCTTTTTCCTTTTGGACAGTGATACAATGTTGATATGGGTATAAAGTGCTCTAGAAACCTTAAGTCTTTTAGAGAAGAAAATGTATACACAGGCTTTTGAGGCCAGTTTGCCTGGATTTGAATACTGATTCTGAACTTCTTAGCTATAAAATCTCTGGACAATTTTTAAATCTCTGTATGGCAGCTCTCTCAACTATATAATGGAAACAGTGGTTTATAGGGTGTCAGTGGAGATTATGTATGTGAATACTCAGTGAGTTCTGGTCTTGTCTCATCTTTCTGGTGATTTTTTAAATTATTGGAGGACCCTACCTCTTCGTTCTTGGACTTTTCCTCTGTCCATTTATTAGTCTCTTAGCAGTGACTTAACATACTACCTGAATTATGTCAGTTGTTTGTCCAGCCTAGACATACACGCCAAACATTAGACTTACCAATCTTATGCATGATTATTTCCTTTGAGATATCTTAAATATAAAATCTCTGGAGCTTTACCCCTGTGTAGTCTTCCTCATCTCAGTTGATGGAAACCACCTTTACAGATGTTCAAGCTAGAAATCTTGAAGTCATCCTATAGACTTCTCTTTCCTCATATCTAATTCATCTACAAATCTAGTGGCTTCACCTTCTCATTCCATCTAAACTTATAATAATTGTTTAAAAGTGCAAATCAGATCATGCCACACCTCAGCCTAAAACTTTTCTGTGACTTCTGTGAAGCTCAGAGTAAGAACCAGAGTCCTGTGGATATCCTACAAGGCTTTTCACTATCTCTACTTTTCCCCACACTGTTTCCTATCCGACTTTGTCTCCTTTTTCTGTTTTACCCTGTTGCAGACTCACTGACCTTGGTATTTCTCAAGGCACATTTTACCTCAAACAAAAGCTTTGAACTACTGCCTGACAACTTTCCTATATATATCCATATGTTCGTTATCTCACCTTTTACAGGTCTGCTCAAGAGTAAGCCTCTTACAGAGGCCTTTTCTGACTATTTTATTAAATAATCATAGTTTACACAGGCTCCCTCTCAACTTTTTTTCTTTACTTTTACCTATTTCATTTACTGTATTAGTTATTTTTCATTTTGAGTTTTGTTACTCTTGTACTACTCAAATGTCAGCTCACTTTTGTTTGTTCATTGATATGTCTGAAACGTTTATGACTGTCACATAATAGGTGTTCAGTATATGACTGTCACATAATAGGTGTTCAGTAAATAACTTCGTTGCATGAATGAAAATATGGCAATTGCATGAAGTGCCTGGTATGTGTTGGCTTTTATGCAAAATGCTGTTAGGCTAATTTCCTTATCTATATTTTTGCACTTGATTCTTTCGAGCCAAATATTTATCCTTAATGAAAATTTCCTTGTTAGATAGATATAGTCCATCATTTAACCTTGATCTTTTGAGAAATCTTATTTAGGTTTGTATCATATGTATTTTAAATAAGCATTCTTTTTATCGGCTTATTTTTAATTTGAATAAATATTGAACAGAAGAGGGCTAAACAGACTGGTAAGATACTAGAGGCTTTGCTTCATCTTGACATTGATTCATTGTTTGGTGTTAACTGGATCTGGTTGTCAATAAAATTTTAAGTCCTAATTCCTTTCTTGATCTTTCTTTTGCAGTCATCTTTTATTGTATGTTACTTTTTATTCTGTACTTGCCCTTTATCATTTAAATTGAAGGATAACTGAGGTCACAGTAACTTATATTTCTTTAGATAACTCTTTGTTTTTCTTGTCCATCAGTAATTATTTTGAAGGGAGGTCAGGATTTTTTTTTAAGTAGGTGCTTTCCAATTTTGACTTATCTTTTTATTTTATTTTATTTAGACAGAGTCTCACTTTGTCACCCTCAGTAGAGTGCTGTGGTGTCATAGCTCATAGCAACCTCAACCTCAGCCTCCTGAGTAGCTGGGACTACAGGTTCCTGTCATAATGCACCGTTATTTTTAGAGACAGGGTCTTGCTCTTGCTCAGGCTGGTCTCGAACTCCTGAGCTCAAACAATCCACCCACCTTAGCCTCCCAGAATGCTAGGATTACAGGTATGGGCCATCATGCCTAGCCCAATTTTGAGTTGTCTTTTTAAAGCCTCAGAATATATAGAATAATATTTGTGTCCTTTCAGTTTAAGAGTACAATTTGATGAATTTTGCTAAGTGTTGCAATTACGTAACCATCACCATAATCGTGTTACAGGAGCATCTCCATCACCCTAAAAAGTGGCCCCTATACCCTTTTGTATTCAGTTCTCTTTTTCTAGCCCCAAGTAACCACTGATCTCTTTCTTTCATTATAGTTTGCTTTTTCTAGAATTTCATTAATTTGGAGTCACATAGTAGGTAGGCTTTTGTGTCTTACTTCACTTAACACAATGTTTTTGAAATTCATCCTTATTGTTGCCTGTGTCAGTCGTTTGTTCCTTTTATTTATTAAGTACTATTCTATGTATGAATATATAATTTATCATTCAGCAGTTCATAAACTTGGCTCATTTTTAATTTTAACTTTTAAATATTTTGCTATCGTAAAGGGTAGGCTATATAGATGATCATACTTTAAGTGATACATCCTGGTCATGTACCCTGGGGCTTCCTATGCTGTCATCAGGCAGTTGGGTCCTTTTGTGATCATTCTAGGCTGCTTATCTAGTATGTGTACTTTATGCTCAGCAAATATGTCCCCATGCTGCTATCACAGAATGCCTGAGATTGGGTAATTTATAATGGACAAATTTATTTAGCTCGTGATTCTTCTGTGGTGTGGGGTGTTCACATCAATGGGCCCACATCTAGTGAGAGGTTTTTTTTTTTGCTGTGTCATCCCATGGCAGAAGGTAAAAGGGCAAGAGAGCATTAGAGAGAGGGAGGGAGGGTCCAAACTCATACATTTTTTTAGGAACCTACTCCCAAGATAACAGCATTAATCCATTCATGAGGGCAGAACTCATATCACCTAATAATCGCCTCTTTTTTTTTTAAAACCTCTGCAATTATTAGTTTATTAGTATAATCCAGGACTCAGATGTTCAGTATTCCTCCTGAAATTACATAAACAAATGCAAATGGAAAGAATCCAAGTCAAAATTATATAACAAAACAGCACTCCATCACAAAAGCGTGTAAAATTACAAGAAC